GGTGATCAAGGGGATGGGACCATACTGTAAAATGTGAGGATGCAGGCTCACATCGTTGCTTTGATTAGAAATACACATATTTTCATGGCACTCATGATTTAGTTCATTAAATACTCATTTATACAAGAGGCCACGAATCGTAGGGATATGAAGAGCTTCTGGTCAATTGATCCTTTGGGAAGTTTTCAATTTCATAGAAATATGAAACACACAAATTCAAGCTATCTTTTAAGGCCCAGATCAATTAGCATCTCCTCCATGAAATCCTCCCCAATGAAATTCTTAATGTGCAGCTGGAAACTTAATTTTGTGTCACCTTATATTACTTACTAATTGCTTCCTATGTGGGCATTAGTTTGATTTTCTCCTCCAGATTGAATATTTGAGGTCAGGGACCATACCTTGCTAATGGGATGATGAATATGCCGTTGCTAATAGACTACTCGTGTATGATTCCTGCAGTCTAACAACACCCAGTACTTGAACACATACTGTAGAAACATTGGAATCCTTGGGTTAATTGTCATTACACTAAAGAAGAATATGCACCTTAATACTGGTATAAAAGCAGTTCAATCTATGAAACAGGTTTATCTGTATTATTCATATTATTTCATTATGATCTGGAGTTTACTAATTAATAATATATTTTGGAAACAGAAGATTGTCCATTTTTAGGCCAAATGTTTTTCAAAGATATCAACACAGTTTCACAGTTTTATTATGGTCTTCAATTACATTTTCTTCCGTATTTCTTTCTTGCCATCCTGAAAAACAATGAGATTTCATTTTTTCCCCCCCGATCTCTGAGTCCTTGTTTCGGGCTTGGAACAAATTTCTGTAATTTGTGTCTGTTTTTTTGGTGGAAGGGATGCTTGAGAGTGTAGCCCGGAGTGTCTGGATGGATAGTTATCCTGTTGTTAGTGGAGTTGCCCATTTTACTACTGTCTACTGACAGCCGCTCAGCGAATTTTATAGTTCTTTTCTGGGAAGATGAGATTTTACAAGCTCAAGGTGATTGGCTCAAACTCGTAATAGATGGTAAAAAAGCAAAACAAAAAACTTAGAATTGATTCTCAAGCTTGATGAAAGACTTGTTCTTTATAACTTAATTCTAAACCATTATAGTGTATATTTTATTTGTACACATTTATTAATCAATTATTTGTACACATAGAAACATGTCAAAGTTTCACAGGGGCCTGTGCACACTCCTGGATGGTAGACCTATCATGGGATTTTGTTAAATAAGAGTTTATTGCCCACCACAATTTTCTTTACAGGCATTTAAGAAATCATGTAATTCAGACTTGCTTAACAACTGATATTAAGCATTGAATGGAGATAAGCAATACATTGAATGGAGTGCTGTATTAGGAGATGCTGGTATTTATAGATTAGGGATCAATTGTGTGAACTGTGGACTATGCTCGCAAACATTATGGATGAAAAGAATAATTTAAGCATCTGAAAATCAGGTGTGACCAGAGGGAGTTGTGGTTATAATGTGTATTGATTAGCACTTGACTTCTTGTTACCAACAAGATGAATTTTAAACACATTTTTTTTAGAGATTTTATTGGGGAATTGGGGAAGGGAACAGTGTTGGGAAATTGGAGAAGGGGAACATTGTGTTTTTCCAGGACCCGTCAGCTCCAAGTCAAGCTGTTGTCCTTCAATCTTAGTTGTGGAGGGCGCAAGCTCAGCTCCAAGTCCAGTCGCCACTTTCAATCTAGTTGCGGGGGGAACGTGGGGGAGCAGCCCACCATCCCATGTAGGAGTCAAACCAGCAACCTTGTTGTTAGGAGCACATGCTCTCACCAGCTGAGCCATCCTGCCACCTATTGGCAGCTCAGCTGCAGCTCAGCTGGGGCACAGCTCACTGGCCCATGTGGGAATTGAACCAGAGACCCTATTGCTCAGAGCTCGTGCTCTAACCAACTACGCCACCCAGCTGGCCTCCCCCCTTCTTTTAAATAACAATCCCAAATGATTTCAATTAGTTTTGCATTTTTGTAGCTTTCACACTGTGTAAGACGTACCTGTCTTCACTGCTACTTGACAAAATTTCTGACAAAAAAGAAACATTGTATAGAGAATTGATAATGAATTTAAATATAGCTAAAGGAAGTACTTTATAATTATACCAGTTGGTGGGGGGTGGCTTGTTGGAACAGGTGGTTGGAGTGCAGGCTTGTAGCACCAAGGTTGCCAGCTTGATCCCCACATGGGCCAAGGAGCTGCACCCTCCACAACTAGATTGAAGACAACTACTTGACTTGGAGCTGATGGGTCCTGGAAGAACACACTGTTTCCCAATAAAATTTCTAAAAAAATAAAATAAAATAATTATATCAGTTGGAAGTTTTTTCAGTTTATTGATCAATACAATAGTTTTGATAAAAACTCTTTACTCCAAGAATGCTGTCTACTCGAATTTGAAGCAAAAATGTATAACTCATTAGGTATCTTTTCCACGAGAATCTCTCTTCCTGTGCATACTAGAGGAGTGGTCATCTTCGGTGATTTTAAACTTCTTCTCATATGGTTCTTCCTTCAGTTACTCATAGATACATGCAAATATACTTATTAATAAGATTCTTTTTCTAATGTAAACATAGACACTGGGTGCTGGTGATACAGTGATACTGGCTTTCAAATGGAAGTCTACTGGTTACACAACTCACATTCTGTCTACTGTAACAAAGATGGCAAACAGATTTGTTCATTCGTGTAACAAACGTTCGTAGAGCATCAGTTACACCCCAGGATATTTCTCTGTGCTCTCCGTATGGTGGCCACTAGCTACATGTGGGTATTTAAATTTAAATGAATTAGAACTAAATAAAGATGGAAGATCAGTTCCTCGGTACGAACACCATGTCAGGTGCTCAGTAGCCACCTGTGACTCGTGGCTTCCTATCGGACAGCAGGGACTCAGAGCGTTCTGTCATCACAAAGGGTTCCACTGGACAGCTCAGTTCTAGATGCGGGTGTCACAGCACCGGATGGACAGAGATTCTTGCCTTGTGGAGCTTATTTCTAGTAGGAGAATGTGGACAAACAGAATGTTAGATGGTGATAAGTGCTAGGAAGAGTGTACTCAGAGAAGGGGTTGCAGTGTTAATGAGTGTTCAGATGTGTCATTTAACTCAGTGTGGGGGTCCTTTCACAGTGTAGATGCATATCAAGTCATCATGTTGTACACTTCATATACCTTACTGCTTTATTTGTCAATTATACCTTGATGAAGTTGAAAAAAATAAACTTAAAGGAGTGATCAGAAAGTCTTGGTGAGAGGGCACCATTTTAACCCAATGGGTATGAAAGTTTTGGGGACATGGGATGTCACTGAGGATTTCTGGGCTTCTTTTGAAGACTGATGTGACTATGGATCTGAGAAATTATTCTTGATTTTGGGAGGGAGTGATTTTGGAAGGGAGTGATTTTGGGAGGTAGTATTGTGGTTATATTTATAAAAGGGAGTCCTTATCTTTTGGGGACACATTAAAGTATTTAGAGATTAAGTGGTAAATCCTGATTTCTTTTAGAACAGTCTTAGGGGAAGGACAGGGTGGAAAGAGAAAGGAAGCAAGGTTGGCTGGCTATGTGCAGATAAAGTTGGGTGGTGGGTACATGGGGAGGGGGGGTCCATTACACAGTTCTCTCTGTGTATTAGAAATTTTCTATTAAAAAAAAATAAAGAGTCTAATGAGATTAGACCTGATAATCTCATTCAACGGCTGTGAGTTTGGTGGAGGGGAACTCACAAAGCTTGCAGGCCTTCTCTGAAGACCTGGCTCCTATCTAATTTGGCAACTCCACAGGACCTTCTGGAACATTCTTCTAGCAAAGGCTTTGGAGAAAAGGGTCCAAGGTCTGATAGGGATGTGTGCATGGGGGGAGGAGTGGGGCCCCTCTGCCACGTTATTTGCCACCCTGAAGTACATCATGCATCCTCCAATGACAGCTGAAGGACAGCAGGGCTTCTGTGGGTGGAAAAAGGGACAATATTGCTGCATGTGCCTCTCCTGTGTCCTGTGGCGATGGTGACCACAGGGCATCTGAGAGAGTGGAGGAGCTTTGGGTGTTTTGTTAATTCTCAGTCTTTTTATAAAGTGCTGTTTACTTGAGGAAATTCATTTCTCAGCATCATGTTAGTTAGTGGAGGTTGGCAATTGGTCTTTCCTTTTGAAAACTAGAGCCAAAGAGGGAACTGGAATACACAGTGTTTTTGCAGCTCCCGAGTGTGTTAACTGCAAGATTTGATTCACATTTCAGAGTTCTAGAATTTGGCATGTGCTGTAGCCAGTGGACATAACATAACCCTTTGAACCCACCTGGGTGTACAGACGAGCTCGGGGGAGGTGAGCTCAGGGACAGCGGATGTCGCAGCCAGTCACCTGCCCACTCAGGTCACTGACTTGGGAGGGGCGGGGGGAGGTGGAAGTCAGCCTCTGCCTCTTGCAGGATCAGACACGTAATGTCATGAGTGTTCTGGAGTCAGTCAGACTCCTGCCTCAGGTTCGGCAAGCTCACAACATGAGGATTGACATGAGAACGCTGATTTATACGAGCTGACCCTGAGGAATGTTCCCGGAGGCTGGGCTGGAGTTTTTAGTGGCTCCGCTGTGGACTTGGGGAGCCGCAGTATTCATTTATTTCTTCACCAAATCCTAGGCTATTGGGTTAGAGTGTGAACAAGACACGCATTCTGGGGTGTGCTGAAGGGAGGCAGGTTGAGGGGGCAGAGATGGGCAACAAAGAAATGAAAGAACGGGAAACTAGCAGAGCATGATGAGTGTGTGCAGGAGGTGACAGTGGGAGGCTGTGACAGCGAGTGGCCAGGTGGCAGGCTTGCCTGGGCTTCCTGACAGGTAAGCCAGCCGGTTCTTGGAGAGCTTGAAATCAAGGACTCCGGACTCCCTACCCTTTTCACAGATAGGCTTTCTTTAGTTGCGCTTATAAATACAGTTCTAGGTCGGTCCACAGCTCTCCCCGTTGATTTACGCATCTTTGTTTACAATTTTGTTTCTGCTACTTTCTGCGCCAACTCTCAAGAAGTAGTTCTCCCTCCTTCTCTTATTTTCAAGATTCAGTGTGGCTCTCTGTCTAGCCCATGTCCATACCCCATGTACCTGTAGGATGTCCTTAAAATCATGGAATACTCTGACCTTGTGTAGGAATATATTTCAGGTAATTGTTCACAATGTTTGTGATTTCAGGTCTCCTGTTGTTTACTATTCATTTTGTCTTTTATTCCTGGGATGCCTGCTGCTGGTGAAGGCAGAGCTGTGAGGTGAAGTTGGGAGACGTTGAAATCAGTAACATTATAGAAAGGAAACTTACTTTCAGGAGAAAATCGCTAATAGTATTAAGAAATTTTTGTGCAAATTCCTGCAGACACATTAGAGATGAAAGTTCTAAAGATGGATCCACATCTCTTTGCTTTAGACTTGCTTCATCTGGAAGCACTGTAGAAACAGATTTGTGAATTACAAATTGTTGAGACTGTCAGAAATTGGGCCCGCGCTTTCTTCAGGATGGGGTAAATGACAAACTGGCTACCCCCGAATTACAGTGTTGTTAAATGTGGTTTGATGTTCTTTCTCTTATTGCTAACAATTCACAATGAAAAACTGTGAGGATGAGCCGTGCTCCACCCCTGCGGTAAGTGGGTGTCCCTTACACCCCCCCCCGCCCCCTCCCCACTGGCTGTTCGGCAGCCTGTGTTTCCATGGGGCCGGTCCCCTTAGAGCTCAGCCTGGGACGTAGCTTTGTAAGGACGAGTTCCAGTTGTCATCTGACCTAGAATGCCTGGGTGTTTTGCCAACCCCCACCTGCTTCTCTGATATTATTTGTGAGCAGTCTTTTGAAAATAAGACTGCACCAATAAAGCAAACACTTTCTGCATCAATTATTTGGAGGCAGAAAGATGAGCCAGTGAAGCATTTTGTTTTCTGATGTGTATGAACCATTTGTACAGATGGATGGTGTTTTTGAACTTTGTGATTTGCTACCGTTTACGACGAAATTTAGACCAGAGTCTCTCAGGGCTGGAGCTCACATTTTACAATTATTTGGAAAATTATTTTAGTATGTAACGCTGAAGTAAGTGAATCAGCCATATATTTTAAAATATATGAGCATCACAGAATTAACTGTTGAAAAGCAGGTACAATCTAACATGTCTTTTTTCTTTAGGCATGTTACATCATTGAGTTATGTAATGAGTATTTAAGAAAGTGAAGTAATTCTCTGGAATACCTAAATTTCTTGTTGGCAGTTGGGGCTAATAGAGCATTTGCAATTCTAGTTAAATGTTCTGCAGGGCAGAAGGTCCCGTTGAGCTCAGAGCCTTTGCTGCCTCACAGATGGGTTCAGAGATGAGAATATAAAAACGTCAGGGTGCACTGGTTACACTCCGGGGTTTCAGGTTCAGTCTCTGTACAGCAAGACTCACCAAGAAAATCAGTAGTTACCAGAGAGCTGGCATTACATTACATGAGATGAAACTAAATGTTTCTCTTTGGGTTTGAAAAAGAAATACACAGAAAAAGAATGAAACAGCCAATAAACAAGGAAAGAGAGCCAACCTCTTCTCTGCAGATCTGCCGTTAACACCTGGCACCCTGAGATGGTCCAGAGAGCTGTAAGCAGAGCTTCCTCACTTGATTGGCAGAGCTGTGTCCCGGTGGGTATTTGATGGGCAGACCGCAAGCATCCACAGGGGCGTTTTTGTGAGTCCTTGCTGGTAGCTCTCGGAGTTCATCCTTTCAGACATTTCTAGGAGTTGATTCTCACTCTGGAGGACAGAGAAGAAAAGCGTGATTATTTCAATCAAATGAGTAGGCACCAGACTGGTATGTGAACACTCAGGATTTCCTACATTACGATAAAATTCCACAAACACTTAGCATCCTGGTCCTCACATCAGACCATGGTCCAGCTTTTCTCTGGGGAACGAAGGGTGTTCAGCAGTGTGTCTCCAGGGAGGGCAGGTGGCTGAGTAATCCCTCTGGGCATGACAGCGAGGTCCTTTTGTTTGCGATTGCTTTTCCACTTGGTGAACATGACAGTGTCATCATTTTTGCCTCAGGCAGAGAGTAAGCAATGCAGTCTGTCCACAGTAGTTTTCTCTAAATTAGGGAATCAGTGTAGTCCTGTGATGTCGCTTTGCATGTAAGGAACCCATAGCTGAAAACTGTGATTCTAGGCTGACTTTGTCTTAAAACAACAACAAAAAAAACCACACACAACAACAAAAAAAAACCACACACAACAGCAGTTCTTTTTCTGGTAGCTCGCCCAGACAAAGAGAAACTGATTTATTGGGGTTCTGACCTCAGAAGGGCAGTAGTGCTGCGGGTCAGGGCAGGCTGGAAACTGTGGCTGTCACAGTGTGTCTTAGAAAAGGCCTTCCATGTCGCTCAGTTCACCTAGAAGTGCACTTTGTGGATCCTGCATGGCAGGCGCAGAGCGGAGGGCGAATGTTAGCGCCCTCTGCCCACATGGTCCCGCTAGGACAAGGGTTGGCAAACTTTTGAGACGGAAGAGCTGCAGGGTCTGAAAAGTAAAATTGAAAATGAAAATAAAACTGTCATAGTTTCATGTATAAAATTTTTAAAGGCTATTATTCAAATAATGGTGATTATGTAAAAATATATTTATGGCTCTCGAATAATTTTTAAATTGTTGGGAGGGACAGGATTGGCTCTTCCAGGGATTGGCAAACTTTTGAGATGGAACACACCCAAAGAGCTGCATGTGGCTCGCGAGCCGCAATTTGCCGACCCCCGCTCTAGGATTCCTGGGCATTACTCGTTCAGTATTTTGTTAGGGATGGAGCTCTAAGAAAAATGGGTTTGATTTTCCGTACACAGAGAGACTGGTTTAGGAACTTCCTATCAGCATTTTTGATGTCATAGTTTTCCTTTGGGTCATTATCCGGGGGTGATAAACTTGGATTGGTGTATTCTGTCTTCTCATACCGCTGCCCAGTATAGGTAGAGCCCGATAGTTCTTAAGAGGCTGTTTGCCAAGCTGACACATTTCCAAGCCTTCTGGGGAGTCCCCTCTTCTCTGGCCTTCCTCTGAGAGAGTCATCAGCACCTCCTGAGGATAGAGGTGAAAAAACATGCACTGTGTAATACTTGAATTACAGTTTCGGGGAAAATTTAAGGGTGGGCAATTTAAATTTTTTAGGTTTCATTGATCTGTTTTTGCTAATTTTGTCTGCCAGTGAAGATGAGCAGAGCAGACTGCCAGTAGATGTGTCTGCTTTCAGACGTTAGTTGCTTTTCTAAATCTGGCTGTAGGTTTAATTTGATGGTCAAAGCTGTTTTGCGTTTTGATATTTTAGGGCAGGGGTTGGCAAACTTTTGAGATGGAAGAGTCAATCCTGTCCCTCACAACAATTTAAAAATTATTCGAGAGCCATAAAACAAATGAAATCACCATTATGTGAATAATATCCTTTAAAAATTTTATAAGTGAAATTATGATAGTTTTATTTTCATTTTCGATTTTACTTCAGAGCCACATGTATGTACCCAAAGAGCCACATGTGGCCTGCGAGCCGCAGTTTGCTGACCCCTGTTTTAGGGTGTTGATTAAACGTACTAGGAATATTTAAATCTACCCAGTTCTTCCCTCCTGTGTGGTTCATGCCATTGGAAACAACTTGGTTATTGGTTTTTCTGGTTTTGTTTTATTCTTTTTAGTCAACCAAAAAGAACAGATTAAATGTTTCATTTGAGATACTTTATTCTGTGACTTTTTTTTTTTTACATCTTTGGGTCTTCCATAATAAGAATAGGAAACTTTCAGTACCTTTGATATGTCATGTGGTTTCTTTTATCTTTTGATAGTGATAAAATGAGATGTCTGTGATTGCATTAAATATAAAATCACTATTAAATTCCAGTTAGTGCAAACATGAATTCATCACTTTCTAAATGTCATCTAATCAGATTCTAGTTTACTTTCCCCCTAAACACCAGGAAGATCAATTTGCTTTTGTCTTGGCTTATGACATGAATGAGCTGCTGTGTATGATTGCTTTTTTACCAGGTGAAATATATGTCTCATTTCTTGATGGATTTTAAATGTAAATATGACTAGAATTTTATTTTCACATTCCTAAATGCACAGCATAGTTTAAATATTTTAAGCAAAAAATGATAAAGTAAACAGATCTGCTTGGAGCCTTAGAAATAATTGTACCGTTGTAGGTTTTTGTTGTATGGATAATTCACATACTGCAGGAATGATGTTTTGTCAGTGACAATTCTAAGAATGAGTTCCACTTAAACTCCTACTATTTCTGAAATGTTAGACACAGCATAAAACTTCATATCTAAAAATTCCTCCAAAATTAGCCATTTAATATCAATTTAGCTATAGGTTAAAGTTTTTTTTCTCTTGGTTCGTTTGTTGAGTGTTTATTGTGTGAAGTCATTATTGTAGGTGCTGGGGATTCAATGGTAAACAAAATAGACATATGCCCTTCTCTCTTGAGCTTCCCTTGGAAGATGGAGGGATTCTGACAGTAAAAAAATAAAGAGAATTGCAGAAAGGGGTATTATTTTGAAGAAGAAAAACAACAGCACAGTCATGGGAAAGAGATCAGTGTGGATTTGGGCGTAAGAGAGAGGGTGTTTTAGGCAGGTTGATCTGATTGCTATCTTGTGGACATGCCACTTGGGTTGAGTTATGATTGGTGAAGAGGACTGGAGAGACCTGAGGAAGAGCCTTCCACACACAGAAGCAGCAAGTGCCAGCTCTCAGGCAGGAGGAAGTTTGGCAGGTTGAAGGGGGTGGGGGGTATTGTGGCAGGAGTGCGTATACCCAGCGTGTAAAGAGGAAGGATGATAGACAGGGCTCAAATGAGGACTCAAACTGTTATAGCACTTAGAGCAGCAGCTGCCATCAGCCTCAGCCAGGCGATCTGGGGACACCGATGGCTGAAAGAAAACTGGTGGATGAATTTATAACGTGTGACTAAATAAAACCAACTCTGTAATTAATACAAGTATATATTTCATTTCATTTTACCCTCATAGCAAGCCTGTTTTTTTTTAAATCTTTACAATAACTATTTCTTTAGGTGCTTTGTAAGGACACAAGAAGGAAATTAGGAAACAAAAGAGGCTCTAGTTCTACAGATGCAGAAAATCTTTCAAAAAAGCATTGAAAAGCTATGGAGGAGTGGAGCTGCACGCAGATACAGCTGCTACTACAGCCTGCGTGAACTTCAGAGTGGAAAACAGAACAGGTGTAGGTGTGAGCGTGCGTACAGGTGTATATGTAGGTACAGAAGTCGGTTTAGGTGTAGGTTTAGGTACAGGTGTAGGTGCAGGAGCAGGGCGTGTGTGCATGACAACAGGGATTGAATCTGGGTTCTAAGTTCTGGGATTTCTCGGAGGTTCCTGAAGGGGTATTGGTTATGGTACAGAGGAGAGTGAGGCTGAATGGGCGAACTGCTCTGAGAATAGGTTTCAAAATATTCTGCTTTAAAATGGCAGCATACACTTTGGCATGACGTGAACAGATACTAGTGTTTATGGAGAAAGAGGGCTTTCTCAGTTTTAAGCCTGCTGGTCGCTCATTTACAATGGGCCGAGCCTGTCCCGTTTACAGTAAGGATGGATGTGCACACCGGGCCCAGGGTGCCTGGGATTTATTCTCATGTCCTTCTATTCATTTCCTTGCAGCTCAGTGTCATAGGTAACCTGCCTGTTGCTATTTTGACTACTAGCCACTTGCACTATCAAAATACAATCAAATATTATTGAGGGACAAGCAAAAACCTCTGAGGCTCTTCTGGAACTTATTGGTTAAAACCTGCTTTTGTCAGAGTTTGTCTGTGTGGTGCAGTGGCTTAGAAAAAGGCTGCGATCAATTCACCTGCACCTGCCTCATTTCTCCAGAATTTTACATTGCACGATGGGTGACATGCGTTTGCTTCTCAAACAGGGTGAGGGACACAGAGCTCAGGGCACACACAAGTGCTTTCTTAGCTGGCATAGCAATGCTGTCACTCATGGGTTTTTCTGCTTTGCTCCCAGGAGGGGAAAGCACTTCCATTTTTTTCAGCATGGTGTTTCCTGGACCCGGACTCTATTGGCCCCAACACCGCAGTGTGCTGAGCAGCAGGTCAGCTTGGCTTGGCTGTGTCCTTACATGGATGCAGACCTTTGAGAAGAGGTAGCTAGTCCAGCCGAGTCTGGCTTAAATGGTCTCCATTACCACCATTGCTGTTTGGGCCTAATTAGATCACTATTTAATTTTTCCTATTAGGGAGATATTGTTCCTCTTTAACTAAGTTCTTAATGTTTGCTCATAAAGGAAGAATGTAATCAGTGGGCTCTTTCACTAGACTTTGACTTTGGTTTGTTGTGGGAGGTGAAGCCAATTACGCACCCCACGCAGGGGTCCACACAGACAGCTTCCTACCATTAACCTGGTTTCCATCCAGGAAATGGAGTGCAAATGCATTGACCCCTGTGAGAAGCTTTGTGTAAGAGGTTAGAGGTGAGATCTAGAATGTTCATGTCACCTAGTTCATAGGCCAGTGTGCAGAGCAAACAAAAGAGATGACAATTGAAAAGCACTTATCTTTCTTCTTAAATGTCTATTTCAAATTTTTTTTAAAGAGAAAAGCCAGTGCTCCAATGAGTAGAATATCCTCATTAAACCAGTGATAAAATAGAGTGTTTTTATTAGGAGGGTTACAAAGAGATGCAAAAAGCAATAAAATATTTTCAGAAATTTACCAAACTTTTGCTTGGTATGCTTCCAGATAAACCAGTTTTATTGATTTATTTTTTCACTATGGGTAGTACGTTGGAGCAGGAGGAACTTCCAACATCATCTAGTCTGAATGTGACAGTGGGATCCCAAGGTGGTTCCCAAGGAACCCAAACTGTCCCCTTCCTGGGACTGTCTTTGGCATTATGCCATACACATGCCACAGAATGATGGCTGGACTTACATCCTAGGTAAAGTTCTTCACTATGTTCAAATACTTGGGGTACCAAATGCCAAAAACCTACTACCATGAGCTGTTGG